AACTAATGCAGCAAATGCACAACTGGATTCACGACACACATTCACGACAGCCTTTGTAAGCACAATTGAAATTGTCAATTTTTCTTTATTTTTTCTCTAAGTCTAATTGTGTCTCTAAGCCCAATTGTGTTTTTTGTCTCGTGTAATTTTTTGAGGTATATTTTCGCACGTCTTTTATGTTGCATTTTGGTGCCGCTGGTATGTCAAAAACAGATGAAAAATTGAAAATTGAAATTGGTCGAAAACTTTTCTTTTTGCGTGCATCGTGTATGAATTGACACGGTTTTGAAAGTTGTCCTCTACGTTAGAATGCGAATGTGTGCTGACATGGCACATCATGTAACTCCATGAAACGTGTACTGGCATCTGCCATTCCCCTATATTCGCTGGAAACCATGGACCATACTCTGCCCCAATACTGCGGACTCACGAAAGCTTCTTATAGATACCACGCGCACGCGGGCAAACCTCTTTTCTCAAGCGCTTTTTAGTTCTAAATGAGTCTTTTTTGTTTCCTCTTCTGTTTAACGTTGCTTCTCCGTAATTTTTGGAGTGGCCGATCAAGACAATGACCTTAGCTTTAACGTGGAAGAGAAGAGCTTTGTTCATCTGTTCTACAAGAAAAACTGTCTACTTGTAGATTTTCAAGGTTAGGCAGGCGCTATGCTCCTGAGGAGTATAACACCCCTCGTCGGCAGTCGATCGCTGGCGATCGTCAATCGCTACGACTGGCGATCGCCAGTATTGCTACACGCTGGATGCGTATCGACTAACGTGTGTTGACTTTTGGCGATCGAAACACATAAAAGACGCAGTCGCCAGTCGTGGCGATTGGCGATCGCCAATTTTCGGCGTCTAAGCGCTTGATGTGTATTGATTGGAGACTGACGATCGCCAGTCGTAGCGATCAGCGATCACTAATATCGGCGACAAAAATCGCCGGTTTTACATACATTTGATGCATATCGATTGACGGGGTGCTATACTCCTCGAGGAGTATAGCGCCTGCCTTAGCGCTTCTATAGTCTGTGGCCTAGAGAGGTTCTCATGGCCGCCTTTCGATTTCGTTAAATCAAATGCGCTTATGTTTGAGCAAGAAGTTTGGATTTTGAAGGCTCATCGAATTGAATTGTTGCAAAAATTACTTTGTTGTTCATTACATCCCCCGGTCTCTAGTAGTTGTTCTACTAGAGACCGGGGGATGTGGTGTAGAGTATGCCCCGGCCAGCTCCTCGTAGATAATTCCACCAAGCGCAGTCTCTCTTGCTGTTCAAATTTTACATGCAGTTGTAGTTCCATAGAATAATGGTGTCCTGCGCACGGACCGCAGATCTAACCGTCTCTTGGATGTATCTTGCATCCCTTAACACCCCTTGAGCATAAGAATTCTCGCAAGTTTCTTAGATTTTCAAAAAAAATGAAGATAAA